CGGTACAGCTGAATGTTCGGTATAGCGGTGTTTGGTATAGCAGCATTCCACTGTAGTTCTCTCAAAGAACACCATCAGCAGCTCCAGACACTGTTCCAGAGACAAGACGAATTTGGAGTGGTTATAAACCCAGCCAAATTCGTATTCGGAGTCCACAGTGTTGAATTCCTTGGGCATTGTGTAAGCGCAGACAACATCACCCCATTGCCGAACAAGGTGAAAGCCATTATGAGTTTCCCAGTTCCAAAATCAGTGCGACAGCTATGGAGATATTTGGGACTGATCAATTTCTATTGCCGATTTATTCCATCTTATGCTAAAGTTATACAGTCACTCAATGACATTCTGAAAAGTAAAGATCACAATAAAGGCATACAGCTTTCGGATAGTGAGCTCAATGCCTTTGAAGAAAGCAAATCAGCATTGATCAAAGCTACCATGTTGTTTCACCCAAGTCCTAATGCATGGTTAAGTCTTAGGACAGACGCATCTAATGCAGTGGCAGGCGGCATCCTCCATCAATCTGTCAATTCTAATTGGCAACCTCTCGCATACTTCTCAAAAGACTCCAACCTGCCGAAACTAGATACAGTCCGTTTGGCAAGGAACTGTTGGCAGTCTATTTATGCATTTATCATTTTGACGTATGTTAAACGGCCAAGACTTCTGCGTTTCCACAGACCACACTCCGCTGACACATGCATTTAAGGCCAACCTCGACAAATATTCACCACCTGAAATCAGACACCTAGACTACATTTCCGAATACATCACCAACCTATGCAACTAATCACTAAACGATTTGTGTGGCCTGGTATTAACCGTGACGTGAGAAATTAGGCTAAAACATGCTTAGCGTGTCAGGGATCCAAAATTCACCGTCACACCAAACTCAATTGTCGACCTTTAGAGAACCTGACTTAAGTTTTAGACATGTGCATCTTGACATTGTAGGTCTGTAACAATGTTGAGATTTTGTGAACAGGTTTCCAGAAAAGTGTAGTGGTCAATGAGTCAAACATCAGATGTTGACCGAGGCCAATTGACCCATTGATAAAACTTGGTTAGCTACTTGGAATGTGGGGGCGGAGGTTAGTGCACCCACAACTTTCCTTGTTTCATGGAATAATATTTCTTTGAAATGATGGGGTGGAACTTTATTAAGAAATTGATATAAGTCATGAGTTTACATCATTTGGTTTTATTCTGATTGGTCAATAGAATTAGTCATCAATTTAGAGCAGGGTGATGTAACCTTACCGCATAATTTACTTGTAACTTATATTCAGTAACTATGTTAAATAGTAGATTTGTAGAGTATAAAAACCCTGAAAGTGTGTTGAGAAATCAAGTTGGAACTTTGTGAGCAGAGAGCTAAAGTCTGATGAGACCAGCTTTGATGCTTTGAGCCTTGATTTGTGAAGTATTTTGCTACGGTGAAATACTTGTTAGCAAACAGGAGCATTTTCCTCACCAACTCCCTGTTTGACTGTGAGGAGCTTTGCATGAGGCGAAGTTTTGAGAATAAAAGAAACTCCTATTCTTAACCAACTTCTGTTTGTCAACAAAGACTTCTTTTAAGTCTGAATTGTCCGTACACTTGGGCCAGGACTGATTGATTGCTTCGAGTTCGGTTACTGAGACTCAAAATTCAGCACTACTAAAAACATCTTGTGTCAGTTAAGGAGTCAAGGTTGTTACAAGGTCCCTTACCGCCATCCAGTGGATGTATTTACATGTTAACAATCATTGACAGATTTACACATTGGCCCGAAGCAAATCCCAATCCCTAACATCAAAGCTGAAACAATCGCAAAACTTTTGTTGCTAGGTGGATTTCAATGTTTGGTGTTCCAGCCTATATCGGCACTGACAGAGGTGCACAATTTGAGTCTCGACTTAAGAGTCAACTGGGTCAAATACTAGGTACTCACAGGATCAAAACCACTGCCTATCATCCAATCGCAAATGGAATTGTCGAAAGCTTCCATAGGCAATTATAAGCTGCAATTAAGGCAGGTGACAATCCTAATCATTGGACTGAAATGGTACCACTCGTCTTGTTAGGCATTCGCACAACACCTAAGACTAACTTGAACAGCAGCTCAGTTGAAATGGTTTTTGGCACCAATCTCTCCCTGGCGAACTGATAATTCATTCCTCCAGTGACAAAGTGTCAGATTCAGCCAACTTTGCAGACAGACTTAAAAAGTACATGGCAAAGCTTCAACCAATTGTCATGAGACCAGCTAAAATAGCAACCTACAAAGACAAGAAACTTGACTCATGCTCTTACGTGTGGGTTAGAGTTGACTCAGTGCAAAAACCACTTCAACCACCTTGCAAGGGACCATACAAAGAATTAAAACGTCCTGACAAGTACTTTGTCATTGATAAAATGGAAAACACGATACAGTGAGCATTGACAGACTTAAGGTGGCATATACCGAAGAAGACGTACTCTAGCAGGAAAAGAACGTCTCATCAGACAAAACAAAGATTGCTTCAAAGATAGTTCCTCAGCCAACATCTAGAGAAGAGAAAAGCCTTCGCACTGTAAATCATTCAGGCACAAAGGTGCACTGGCCGAAATGATACATGTATGTTGAAATAATTAATGAAGCTTCAAACTTAGTGTATAATAACAGAGCAAACAAGGAAGGAATTAAGGTAAAGCAACTGTACAAGGTAAGAGTTCAACTGAATAATTTAATTTTAAGTGACTTAAATTTAAACCACGCCTCCAGCATTGGGGAGGGGGAGGTGGGTGTAGAGACCCAATTCATGGAGCGACTCCACCAAGCCGCAGATCATTTGCATATAAATTCTTTCCAGATGCACTAGCAAATAAATGCAGCACAGCCTGCATCACTCTCACACACTCTCTCGTTGTCCTCACTGACTTCGAACATGGTGGTTGTCAGTTGCTTCACTCTCCTGCGTGTATCCACAGTATGCCGATACTGTCACGTTGCCGTGGTGGTCCATTTGTCAGTAGTATACAGCTAAGGGTAAGCCACGGAGACGTGGCCTATCAGTGCAGTGACTTGTATCCTCTTAATAATTATTTATTGTAAATGATTTTATAAAGAAAGCGCACGGAACTGCGTAGAATCCCAGGTGGATCTTCTTTTTTCCTCCTTTGTTTTCATGTTGCTTTCGGCATAAGTCTGCCATAATTTAATTTTCCCTTTTCTGGGCAAAGCAGCCCTCAGGGGATACAAACATTACTGAGGTTTAAGGCTAGGCTATTTAAAAGTAGTTCAGAAGCTACAGAAGCACCTTATCCAATAGGGATGTATCCCTGGTAATTGTCACCTGTCGGTCCATCTTTGGGAAAGAGAGGCCGCAATCCAGATGGTTCTGTATCAGCTGCCAGTGAAGATGTGGGCGGACAAAGTCTGTTTTGAGAACTGCGTGGTCGATCAGGTAGCGTTTGGGCTAGTAGACCTGCAGCAGGTGGAGCAGGAGGGGCCTTATATGAAGACGGCCAAAAGGCACAAGGTCCACCAGGCTCATCATCAGGCTGAGAGTGTGTTGTGTTGGTGTGATGGAGCCCCGGCAGAGGTTGAGAACCGCACCTAGGTAAGTCAGAGTCTGGATACGAACGGGTCTAAATTTTCTATGATTGATGAAGAACCCCAGATGGTTGGTTAGCTCGTAATAAGGTCAGTGTAAGCTGCAGCCTTGTCTGGAAATCTTCTAATGATTAGCTAGTCATTGAGATATTCAAATGTCAGAATGACCAACTGGCTTAGGTTGGCAGCAATATTTTTTGCCATTCGAAAGATGAAGTGAGGCACCCCATCCAAGTTGGGATGCATTGGATTGAGGCAGCTGATCAGCAAAGAGTGTCTCAGAAAGGGAAAGCAAAGATAATAGCCGGAAAAGACCCATCTCGATGCTTGGATAGATGGGTAGAAGCGACAGAAAAATGGTCGATCTGTGGTTCACACTCGGAAGGACGCTGTGTGTGAGAAGCCAAAGTGTTATTGGGATCGGAAGCATTCTTGCCGGAGAGCCCCAAGGAGAAGCCGGTGGATGGAATAACATGGGGTGTGCAGAAGCTGCAATGGTATAGCAGGCCGGTGGATTTGGTAGCCCGGGACAAGAACTGCAGAGAGATGGCACTAGATCCGCATTCTGATGGTGCATCCAACTGGACCGTGCCAGCCAGTGGTGGAGAGTCGGCATTGAGAGTGCCATTATCTGGTTCACATCTGAGTGCCTCCATTGAAGAGGTCTGTGGGCTCATGTGTGAAACGGCTGTTAGGGCTGACAAGTGAGGAGTGTGCCCGCATCTCCGCGGACTTCAGTGAGCCATTACCCTGTGAAGGAATGGTGAAGAAGGGGTAAGTGCCGCTGCGGTAAGTTTCCAATTGCTGCAGGCCTCCGTTCTCTCTGGCCTGGATGGTAGGCTCTGTCCTACACAGACACAGCGGGGAGACCGAGGCGATGTCAGTTGGGTCAGCAGCCCTACGTGTGGCTCAGTGGCAAACCCCCAAGTAACCGCGTATCCCAGATTAACGTTAGCACCCTGGTTAGGCGGTGGTGATTGCAACAGTATATATGAGTTAAATGGCTGCACCTGACGCCATTCGTACTGTTTCTGAACTTATATATTAGTCACTCTGTTGACCCCATAAAAGAACTTTGTACAAAGAATCCCTCATAGAATCAACATAGGATTACCTGGATATATGCATATAGACACACAGAAAGGAGAATAGATGTGCACATACACATAATGGGTTGTAGAGCAATAAGGGTCTATATGGACCATTAAGAAGTGCATCACAACAATTTGGCACAAAAATTACCTAAAACAAGGAAAGACATATAATAAGGGAAAAGATAACAAATTGGAATGAAAACAAATTTATTATAATATGATTCAGTAGATCAGATTACCACAAATGATTTCCATGTAGCAAAATGGAAAACTCAAGAAATTTGAAGATGCCAAAATGACAACTCACACATAAAGTACAAGTTATTACCTGCTGTATATCTTTGCACCAGGCTTCAAAGTCAGCTTCGTCGTGACAATAATATCCCTATGGAAAATCAAAACATTAAAAAATTATGCAAAAGGCACTTCAGATATTCTTTTTATCATACAACATTCACAGCCCCCTAATGGTGTGGTACAATTGGACAGTGGCAAAGCCAGAATTTTTCTGGGAAGGGTGGAAGGTGGGCATTAACATCTTAATGTGGGACATACCAGGTAAGCCTCAGTGGTCCTGCATTACTCAGACTGTATGCTAATAAGTATACATACATGTGTATGGACAAATTTCAGAGTTTGAGGATTGTCAGAGGGGCTAATGCACGGTATGCGCACCTAGGGAGTATTTGCTATTACATGAATGTACATTCTAATTTAAGACTGGCTTACACTGCATTATTTAAGCACGACTGACAACATAACACAAGTAAACATATGCAAGTGTGTCCTACTGTTCTACTAAATATAGGGTCTCCAATATGATTCATACACCATATTCAAATTGCAGTCTCTTCTGGACTGGACTGTGTAGTGTTTCATCAAATTTGGGGGAACAAGTCCCCTCGTGGTCTCATAGCACAGTATCATCAACCCTGATCACAAAATGGCAAGTTGTACGTAAATGTAAGTTTTGCCAAATCAGATGATGACAAATTTTAAATCGCATTAAAAAAAATGAAAACAAGAACACAACCATTTTCTTTTGATAGCTTGAAGGGTGTACATCATCAAAATGATTTTAGGAGTCATTTTGGAACAGGTAAGTTAAACAAAAAATTGCACAAGAATCACCAGGGGAAGGGGGCATGGCCACATCCCCCCTCCTTGCCTTTGCGCTATACCATTGCAATGCAGTGATCAATGAGAAATTAAACCAGTTTCTGTTGGTGCATGTACCTGTCACTTATAAACAATGGAAATGTTACTTAAGAATGTGCAACCCAGGGTTTAGTCCCAAGGAACAGGAACCAATTACGATAACCGATTTCAGTCAGGAAAACGCAACTTCACACAGTTCACCAGATGTTTATTAAGAACAAGCAAAATACAATCTCCAGAGAGTTGAATTCATCATAGGTAGAAGAGACACAAAGGGGTACATGGAAGAAGAATATCAAAAGATGGAGTCTCTGATGATAGGAATGGAAATGATGACTCAAAGTATCCGGTTTGTAAGTGTGACATCACTTCACTTTAAACCATGCCCACTGCACATGCACTGCACCTAGAGTTACACGCATCGATTGCCGTTTACATAGAACCATGGAACCGGAAGTTAACGCGCAACTTCAGCGATCGTCCAATGGGAGCCTGCAAATCGTGGTGTGTTCGCCCATATGACAAAGTCACCAATCGGATACTGGTGGAATCTTGAATACTAAAAGTGGCTTCATCCACGATAAGACTGAATGGGTCTTGAATGTCTGGATCTCTTGGATGTGTTAGTCTTGAATGTCGATGACAGAAGTGGGTCAAGGTCTCCAGCATATTGAATCACGTAACAGGCTACCAGGAGAGCAGGTCAGGAAACACATACACCAATGGTCCTGTTTAATCTTCCCTTGAAACGATACTGTCTAGTCATCTTAAGGTGCCTTTTCATATGCGCGTTAACACTTTGGCCAAGCGTTGCCTATCCATCAGCATCACTCTGGGGGCGATTTCGAGGACCAAACACACCACAAACTTGTGTTATGTCAATTCAATGTAGTCGAAATTTTTGTCCATGAACACGCAATGCATCGTAAAAATGTATATGGAAAGACACCTTAAGATGACCAGTGCCGTTTCAAGGGAAGACCAAACATGAGAGTTATTGATACACAGTGGTCTATAGCACATTGCTACTTTCTCCAATCACAGTGACATTGGACAAAAACGGCTGCATTGGCTTTGTGGCCACTAACATTGAAGCTCTAAAATCAAAATGTCACTTATGTATGTGTACGAATATTGACATGTACGGGGAAAGCTCTTCCATTGACCTCATGAACTGCACCAACCAAGAGCTCCAAGACCTGGAAACAACTTGATCAAATGCGCCAGCGGATACAGTATGGAGATGAGTACAGAGAAGTCGAAGGTCATAGTGAACTCTCTAAGCAACACTAGTGCCAACAGTATCATGAACGGTAAATCATGGAGGAGGTAACATCATACAAACATTTAGGAGCTACACTGTCCAAAGATGAATTGTGCATGGCAGAAATCTGGATCTGGATTGCCACAGCAACTGCAGTGATTGTCAGACTCAACATGATGTGGAGGAGTAACATCGGCTTCCCTACCAAGTTTAGGCTCTACAAGGCACTCATGCTCTCCATTCTGCTGTAAGGTTGCAAGTCATGGACCGTCCTGGCAGACATTGAGAAGAGAATCCAACCATTCAAAACCAAATGCCTCAGGGTCAATCGCAGCCGCTGCGGTCGGGTTCCGTTAGCTGGGCCTGGTGTAAAATTAAAATGGGGGGGGCTTTGTTAGTCAGTTCCTTTGATATGGTAAATTGGCACAGGAAGTGGACAGTCGGCTGGTTGCTAAGGACCTGAGATAACCGTGGTGTCCGCGTTCAAACCGCAGTTCTACCTTTTGGACAAGCTCCCTAACAACAGCTTATGTTAAGAGACATCCAAGTTATACAAATATGGTTACTAAATTACAGGTGTATACCAACCAAGCTTCATCCAAATTTTTTACAAGATTGGTTGACATGTGACTTCAATACAGATGTACAAAATATTTTATCAACCTTGGCGATAAAATTCATTATACACTAGGAGAAAAAACCTAGTTAGTGCTGTGTGTTTAAAGGCACCTGCCATTTAAAAGTAAATCAACAAAGACCACCAACAAGGGAGATACGGGTCCAAAGGCTTCTCAGTTCTTTACAGGAGAGAAGAATGCCTAAAGAATGTGGGTCCAGTACAGTCAGACTAGACCTGGATGATTATATAAGCAGTGCATTTGTGAGTTTGATGGAGGGTGCATAATTAAAATTCCCATTTAAGTACACATGCAGTTTTGCACTTTGTATCCAACCCCCCATCATCCTATCCTCTACAATTCTACACCTTCCCCCCATCATTCCATATCCCACATCTACATGCACATGTACCATCTCTCCACCCCTCTATCATCTTTGTCCATCTCTTACTCTGCTCCTTCCCCATCATCGTATCTCCTACTACGCCCCCTCCCCATCATCCTATCCATCTCCTACTCCGCCCCTCCCCATCCTCCTCTCC